TAAAAGATAGACATATAGATGTTGCCTTTTTTCAAGAGACCAAGAAGGCAGTGGTGTCTGAAATTGCTGCTAGAAGACTCTGGGGTTGTAGAAATATGGATTATATGTCTGTAGATCCTGAAGGAACAGCTGGGGGGTTATTATGTATTTGGGACCCTGATGTATTTCAACTCTCTGGCTGCTGCTGTAGTAGGAGGTACATCTTGCTATCTGGTTCCCTATATAATTCTTTTAATTGTGTGTTGCTTAACATCTATGCTCCAATTGAAGTAAACAACAGGTCCATTTTTTGGGACAATCTTATAAAGCTCAAAGTCCCTTTCCCTAATCCTTGGTGCTTGGGGGGTGACTTCAATGAAATCAGGCATATGGGTGAAAGGTTAGGATGCTCCAGGAGAGATAGGGGAATGAGGCATCTAAATGAGTTTATTGAAAAAAGTGAACTCACTGATTTACCTCTCCATGGTAGGAAATTCACTTGGTGCAATGCTCAAGAATCAGAGAAATGGAGCAGAATTGACAGAATCTTGCTCAGTCCTGAGTGGTTGATTAACTTTTCAATGAAATTATGGGGGCTACCCAGGTTAATTTCAGATCACTGCCCTTTGTTGATGAAAGAGGATGACAGAGATTGGGGCCCCAAACCTTTCAGGTTCTTAAATGCTTGGACTCTTCACCCTTCTTTCCCCCAGCTTTTTGCCTCCTCCTGGTCAAATGCTACCTTTTCTGGGTGGTCTGGGTATATTCTTGTTCAAAAACTCAAACATCTTAAGTTGACTCTTAAAGCCTGGAACATTGAGGTGTTTGGAAACATTTCTTTAAAACTCAAGGCCTTTGAGGAAGAGCTACATGCTTTGGACATCGAAGCAGAGGAAAGGGCTCTGCAGAATTTCGAAAAGGCAAGAAGAAATGTGGTTAGAAGTGAAATATGGAAGCTTCATAGAATGCTAGAATGGTCATGGCATCAAAAATCCAGAGTGAACTGGACTCTTCATGGAGATAGAAACTCTAGATTCTTCCATGTTGTTGCTAGCTCCAGGCAGAGTCGAAATCTAATAAACTCTATTACAGTTAATGGTGTGATTTTTGAGGATCCTAGCAGGATCAGGCATGAGGTACTTCAACACTTCAAGACTCAATTCACTGAATCATGGGTGATGAGACCTACTCTAGGTGGGGAGTTCACAACTATTGCGGCTGATTTTGTCTCTCACCATCTTGTACCTGTGTTCAGTGCTGCAGAGATTTTGGCAGCAATCAAAGAATGCAACAACAACAAAGCTCCAGGCCCTGATGGATTCAACCTGCTATGTTTTCAAAAGTTTTGGATGCTTATGAAACAAGAGCTTGTGCAATTTTTTAAGGAATTTCACTCTAACAGCAAACTCACTTATGGCATTAACAGCACCTTCATTACCCTTATCCCCAAGCTAGAAAATCCCATTGGCTTATCAGATTATAGGCCCATTAGTCTTGTGGGTTCTATTTACAAAATCTTAGCCAAAGTTTTAGCACACAGATTGAAGTTAGTGCTTCCCTCCATCATTGGTGAAACCCAGTCAGCCTTCATAGGTGGGCGATATATTCTCGATGGGGTGTTAATTGCTAATGAAGTAGTGGATGGATGGAAGAAGACCAAGAAGCAAGGGTTGATCCTCAAGCTGGATTTCGAGAAAGCATTTGATTCTGTAAATTGGGAATTCCTATTCTCCATGATGATTAACTTTGGCTTCGGGGTTCAATGGGTCTCTTGGATGAAAGCTTGTGTGACTACATCAAGAATCTCCATTCTAGTAAATGGATCTCCTACTGAGGAATTCTCACCCCAGCGAGGTCTTCGGCAGGGTGACCCACTCTCCCCTTTTTTGTTTAACATAGTGGCTGAAGGGCTTAACATCCTCCTCACTAGAGCACTTAACCTTGGCATCCTTAAAGGTGTGCTAGTTGGAGCTAATAATGTTCGTGTTTCACATTTGCAATTTGCTGATGATTCAATTCTCTTTTGTGAAGCTCACTGGGATCAATTGGTGTTAGTCAAAAGAATTCTCAGATGTTCTTGATGAGTACTATCCGGTCTCAAAATCAACTATCATAAGAGTGTTTGTGTGTGGTATTGGTGTATCTGATGATCTTATGCTTTCTTTTGCTAATCTTCTCAACTGCAAGGTGCAGAGCTCCCTTTAAAATTCCTGGACTACCATTAGGAGCCAATCCTGGTAGGAATCTACATGGAACCTGTTCTTGATAACATGCAAATCTAAACTGTCAGGGTGGAAGAGAAAATTATTATCATTTGCAGTGCAGACTAACCTTGATTAAGTCTACACTCTCAAGCTTACCTATCTACTTCCTTTCCTGTTTAAAATGCCTGAAGGTGTGGCTAAAAAGCTGGAAAAGATTGAGGCTGCATTCCTGTGGGTGGCAATAATCTAAAAGGAAAGTTCATTTGGTGAGTGGGTGGAGACTAACAAAAGTATGACCAAGGGGGTCTGGGCATCAGAAGAATCAGAGATGTAAATTCTTGTTTACTACTTAAATGGTGGTGAAATTTGGGACCCAAATCAATGCTCTTTGGAGGAGAGTAATTTGGCAGGCAATACAAGATTATCGAGGACTGTTGGCATCCTCCTGTAAGGCCCTCTTATAAGCACTCTAGAATATGGAGTGACATCTTATCCATCAGGGCCTCCAGCAACTCCATCTTTAATTTCTTCTTGGCCAATTGTCTAATTAAAGTAGGGAATGGGAAGAGAATTAAGTTTTGGACTGATAGATGGTGTGGTGTTATTTGCCTGAAATCTGATTTTCCACTTCTCTTTAACCTCTCAACTGATAAAGAAGGCTCTCTCCACCACTTCTTTGCCAGGAAAACCAGCTCATGTGCCTGGAACTTTCCGTATAGAAGAGAATTGTATGATTGGGAATTGATTGAAGAAGCTAATTTGATTGCAGTTCTATCCTATGCTCCTCCTTTATGTAATGAAAATGCAGATTACCTTATATGGTCTAATGATGCTGCAGCCCATAATCAGTTCTCTGTAGCTGACCTATATGCTTACAGCTCTTCCCTCTTTGGTCCTAATCTAAGAATTTGCAAACAGGTTTGGAACTCTTTGTTGCCCCCAAAAGTCTCCTTCTTTTGCTGGCTGGCCTAGAAAAATAAAGTGAAATCTTCAGAGTTCTTGCACAAGATTGGCATACTTGATAGCAGCACTTCAATTCTCTGTCCATTTTGTAATTCTGAACCTGAAACTAATATTCATGTCTTGCTTCATTGTCCTTTCTCTTGGCTGATTTGGTCTTCAGTGATTAAAGAATGGGGGCTTCAATGGTGCATTTCAAATTCAGTAGCTGGTTTATTTCATTGGTGGATGAGTGAGAAATTTCAGAAGTATGTTAGAATAATTTGGAGAGCCCTCCCCTTAGTCATATTGTGGTCTCTTTGGAAGCATAGGAATAATTGTGTCTTTTCTAAGGCTCAGCCCAATTTTCCTGGTCTGCTGGATCTCATCAAATTTAGATCTGCCCTCTGGCTCAAAGCATCAGTCAAGGATTTCCCCTTCTCAGTGGATGATATAGTCTTCAAGTGGAAGCAGATCAGGGGCTCAGATTGATCTTCCTTGCGGCTATTTTAGTCTGTTCTTCCTGCTGGAAGGCAGTTCGGCTATCAGTCTGGGTGGCTGTCTGCTGCAGTAGCCTGTTCCTCCTTGGTGCTATGTTCTGGCTTTGTTTAGGTCTGATTCTATTGTTAATTTGCATTTTGCTGCTGTGATCACTGATGCATCAGCTCCTCCACAGTTATGGTGCACAGTTTTGGCTGCTTAGACAGTTTGCTGAAATTCTGTTATGATCAGATATGGGTAGACAGTTTGGCTGTCAGTTTGGCTGCTACTATCAGTTTTGGCTCCTATCAGATTATCTATCGGTTTTTTGTTTCAATCTGTTACAGATCTCTGCTGATATAGAAGGGCTGGGTTTGATCTGTGTGCGTGCAGGGCTTCCGCACAGCTCATGTTATATTGTTATTCTCATGAGGGTTACTGATCTACTGCTTCCTATTTCATGATCTGTAATTCTGAGTTGATTTCTGTTATGCTGCCTTCTTCTTGGTGAATTCCATGATCTTGGTCTGCGTCTTCAGAGGAGTGTTCTGTTTTGGATGTTTTTGCTGCTGTTTTCTGTTTTTTTTTCCTTTTTTCCTCTTGTTGGTTTCTCACCAACCGGAGCTTTGAGCTTCATCTAGCTTTGAGCTCCTCTTTATTGATGTTCTCCATCTTTTTTGTTTGATTTCATCAATAAAGATTTATTTTGCCGATCAAAAAAAGATTAAATTCTTCTCCATTCTATAATCAATGATTATATACGCATCAAAAAATATTTATTTGAAATTAAAAATTTGTTAATTGAAAATTTTAAAATTTATTATAACGTAATAGTTATAAATTGTTGATTTTAAGATTTGATGATATTTTACAACCTTATTAAAAGCAATAGAGATCTCTATTGCATTCGTAAAATGGACAACTATATGCAATCCTAAATCTTGTTAAGAAGCAAATCAAGTGCTCGGGCGTTTAGGGTTTATACTTCTGTTCATGAGCTCAAAGGTTCACATCTCGCCGCTTCTCCCTTCCTCTTATATATATTATGAGTCATAATATATATATATATATATATATAATATTAAAAAATAAAAATAAATAAAAAAGAAAGAAAGAAGAAGAAGCAGCAGCCTGCTAAGCCACATTTTCAGTTGAGCCAAAAAGCCCAAAACATCATAATAAGCTTTGAAAGTCATAAGAGAGAGAGAGAGAGAGAGAGAGTCAAATGCATTAGGTAGACATGGGAAGGGAAGGCAGGCACCTAACATATAAACAATTAATTTTGAAGAAGAGAAATAAAGAAAGAAAAGTATGAGAAGTAACTTCTTGTCTTGCTTTTCAAAAATAATGTACATTACCTACTTCAGGAACTAGCTTGTCTATATAACACCCTTCCATACCATCTACCATTTTTGTGCCTCTCTCTCTTTCTCTCTATTTCTCTTTTATCAATTTTACTCATAAATAGCATATAAGAAAGAGAATAAAAAGCTGTAGTCAATATTCAACAATGGCCATGGTAGCTGCTCTGATGATGATCCTCGTGATCGCTGCTCCGGCAGCATACGCAACACAGTACACCGTTGGAGACACCTCAGGCTGGGCCCAGCAAGTGGATTATACCACTTGGGTTTCTGGCAAAACATTCAGAGTTGGTGACACTCTCTGTAAGTTGGTTTATTTTCATTTTGGGATTCATGAGAAAAATGGGTTGTTTTGAAAAGTTGGTTAAAAATTAATTTATTTATTTATTTTATTTTATTTGAAAAAACATGCAAAAAAAAAAAACAGGTGATATAACTTATAAAAATTAAAAAATCAAAAAATTAACTTTTGACCAGCTACAAAAAAGAGACAGATGTTTTCACATACATATAAATTTTTTAGCAATTAGTCTAAAAACAGAGAAACAGATACAGAAAGCATAAAAGTCTCATTGGTTAAGAGTGAAGTTTTCTTGGTCAAAGTGGTACAAATTTACCATAAATCCTCTTGGTTAGGTATAGTCTTTTGAAAATTTCTACGCAGGGTGATGATATATAAACAAATTTTTTATTAAAAAATTCTAGACAGAATGATATGACTTTTTGTAGTCGTTTTAATTTCAATCAAAACATCTATCATTGTTCTTATAATTTTAAAAGGAAAACGAGCGAGACCCATTTTTTAGAGACCCCACAACTCCTAAAGTGATTCACTTGTCTATCATTGTTCTTATAATTTTAAAAGGAAAATGAATAAGACCATTTTTTTAAAGGACCCTCACAACTCTCAAAGTGATCTACTATTATTGTTGATTTTAAAAATATCATTGATATATTATTCTGGATGTGTTTCTCTACATGAATGTTCTTTTTCTATGCAAATCGGTGGTATTACATATACCAATTAATGTACACATTAGTATATCAACTAGTGTTATGTTATTATTATTGATCCGACTTATTATACAAATTATAAATACTCAAAACCTCTATATTTATGTCATATCATTTATTAGTATAGTAATTACTACATATAACATTATTCGATTACTTTCCTTTCTATGAAGAGTGTTACATTTAGAACCTTTTAGCCTGCATGCACAGGGTATAGCTGTGGATGCAACTGATAGCTATGGATTTAGCAGTTCTTAATCCTACTTGTTAGATTTTAAATTCCACATTTTTGGGGGCATATTCTACACATTTCTAGTAGTTGAATTTTGTGTGCTTTGTTAGCATAGTTGCTAGAATTATTAGAGGTACTCAACCCAAAAACAATGGATTTTACGTAAAGAAATCTTTATAATATATTTAACAAACTCGAATGGGTTAAAAAGACGATATGAGACAAATATCTAACAAATGTGAAAAAACAATATTTCTATTGGTTTTTCTTTCCTCCTCCTTCTTCTTCTTCTTTTTGTCTCTACTTTTGTATATGCATAAAACCATTGCAAAGCTCCAGTGATCCAAATGATCAATTGGCTAATCTTTAATTAAATTGATTTTAATCCACTTTTGACTCAGCATGCAAGCCTTATTTAAAAACATCACCAAGTCAAGCCTGGGCTTGATTTGTTGAATAAGTTTTAAAATGATAACTCTAGTTACTAGACCCAAGATAGATTATTAATATGACTATGCAATACCCATATTGATGTAGGCTAATTTTTAAAATTGTAGACTATGCAATACCCATATTGGCAACTGGGTTAAAAATTGGGTTTTTGAAATCACATTACTTCTCTATTTTTGTACACATTTATAAAATAAAAAAAAGTCAAAAAAATTAACATTTAACCTACTTTTTAAAATGAGTCTCGTAAAAAACTTTTAATATATTAAATATTGATTGATTGAGATAATTCTCTCTTTAGAACCTAGGGTTCTGTCTCCCTAAATTCTATCTTCTGTTCTTGATTGGACCCATCACATATCACCACAACAAATTCTTGAGGAAGATTAATCAAATTAAATTATGGACTTTGTCAATGAGTGTTTTAAGAATCCATGTTAACAAACTTAAAATGATTATATATTATATATAAAAGTACATGCTGTTAAAATGTATAACTTTAATCTTTGTTAACTGAATGAATCATTCACAAGACCAAATTAAAAATATTTTGGTAACATCATGGCCGGCACCACATTGAAGCCAGCAAATAATAAATTACAAACCAAATCTCATCTAGTTTTAAATCCAATGGGGTTATGTGATGTAATTTATCGGAATTGTTTATATTTTATTTTTTTTAATTTTATTCTGAGAGTTTGTCAGACTATTTAATATAACTTCTGTTTATAACTTATTAGGTAGAAATAATTTAAATAAACTGGAAAAAAAAAATTATCTAAAAGTTGAAAGAGAGATGCTTTTGACTCCTACTTTTATATCTTTAGCATTGCTGAATCATATAGATAAGATAGGAGTATTTGAATGATTTGTGGGGTGGGGGGAATGATGAAATTGAGTTGAAAACGGACAAATAAAGTACTGGAATTTCTAGTTTTACAAATTAACATTGCAATTTTTAAGAATATGAGAAATTTCATTGAGTTGAAATTTATTATTTTATGAATAATTCCATGGTAGTTGGTTTTATGCTATTTAACCTGATATTAAAAAAATAGAAATGACACTATCAAAGAAAACTCTTGGGAGTCGCTACGCCACTACGTGACAATTTGTGAACTAACAATATTTTTATTGGAGATAAGGCCGAATTCTTTAATAGTTCATTTGGAAGAACCATATCTCACTGACCAAACAAAGTAGACCAAATCAAAATCAATTAGTATTGAATGGTGACTAAAACATATAAATATACATATATATATTGACCTAGTCCTCTCAAGATTTTTTAATTTAAAAAAAAAAAAAAATTAGATTCAAACTAATCACATCACATGTTCATCTTGATTGCCAGTGTTCACATATACTGCTTCTTTGCACAGCGTGGACGAAGTTAGCCAAAGCAACTACGACAGCTGCAACTCCGCCAACACCCTCGCATCCTATAATGGAGGAAATACCGTCGTTAACCTTAATACCACCGGTCCAATGTACTTCATATGTCCCACTTCTGGTCACTGCCAATCAGGCATGAAGCTAGCCGTTACTGTCGCGGCAGCAAGCACCTCCCCAACTGGATCACCTTCACCTCCTGGAACTCCTCCCTCAACTACCTCCCCACCGCCCCCACCGCCACCTCCGAGTAGCGGAGCGGTCGGAAACTTTGGTCACAAGAGTTTTGTAGTGCTTGGGCTTTCACTTTTGGTGGGGGCGCTGAGTACTCTTATGAGCTAGGCAAGGGGCAGTGCTATCTTTTTATACTCCATTAATACTCTGTGCATGGTTTCATGATTATGAGATGTAGTTTATTTTTATTTTTATTTTTTTGTTTGATGGTCAGATTATGAGATGTAGTTTTATGTTGAATATTATTTTGATTTGAATAAAATGGAGATTATGAGATTTAGATTTTTGTTAACATTATTTTCTTATAAAATGGGCTTTATTTGAAGAAAAATGCTTGAGACGTAAATATTTGAATTGTTTCATTTTTGGTATTTGTAAATATTGGTGTTTTTAGGCTTCGTTTATTTTGATGTAAAACATTTTACTCATTTTTTGTTATTTGGTTAAACAAAAAGTAAGTAAAATATTTTTTTAAAGAAATATTTTTGTATTATTTTTTCAAAAATGACTTACCTTTAAAAATTTCGTAAGTCAACATTTACAAAGTTGACTTTTACCCACTACATTTTCAACACATTTAACATTATTGAATGGTTGCAACGATCGATGCCATGACCGCGTTGCTAATGGTACCCACAGTATTTGGTGGGGTTTAGCAGGGAGTGAGTCAGAAAGAGGTTGGGGATAAAGGGGTTTGAGATATCCTCTTTCCATTAGGACTTTTTGTGTGTTGGTTAGGCTCATATGAAGGGGGGTAAAGATTCTGCCTTGAGCTCGAGTCGGGCCGGCTGTTTGTGGACTGGTATTAGCGAAAGGGTTAGCAGTTTTGGTAGTAGCGATGGTATTGTTTTCAGTGGGTTTGGGAACAGTACTACTGCTAGCATTGGTACTCTTGGAAAACACTCCCCTTGTTGGTTCACTTGTGCTGCGAATAATCCATTTGTTAAATGCACTCTCAATCTGAATCCCTAACTCATGCAAATTTTTGAAAGTGAGCAATGGAGCGACTATTAACTTTTGTAACAAATTAGGCTCAAGGTTCTGCACCACTATCTGCACTTGGTCCCTCTCAGAAGGTCGATCTGTCATTTGTGCTGCTTTTGCTCTCCACCTTGCAACAAATTTCACAAAAGGTTCTTTAGGATTCTGGTGGGTTGTTTCAAGCTCTTGAGTGGTCATTTCAATTTGAGTAATGTAAGAATACTAATTAACAAACGCCTCAGCCAAATCTTCCCAGTTCTGCTTCACTTTATCCTCCAACTTGGCGTACTAAGTGGCTACTATACCCAACAGGGTTCTTCTATACAGAGAAAGTTTCTGAGGCTTAGTCAGACCCATCGATTTCAAGACGTCCAAGAAAAATCGGATATGTACCATAGGATCTCCAAACCCATCGAAACGGTCAATGGGTGGCATTTTAAATCTATTTGGGAGCCTTACAGCAGCCTCTATGTACCCATCCTCAATGTCGAGAATAGCGTTAATTTCTTGTGCCTTTTTGAATTGCTTCTCAAGATTAGCAATATTTAACAAGGTCAGGTTGAGATCATCAATATCAAGGGGAAAAAGCCCCTCATTAGGCTACACTAGGGATCTAAAAACCCGAGTTTGAGCCAACCTTTCTCGAGGATCTGGACTATGCAAAACTTCAGCTAGTGGAGATAGGTTAAAATTCGACTAGGGGCCTGGATGTGTGGTAGATGCCCTAGATGGGCGTTGCATTTCTGCATTGGTCTCATCTAGTATGGCAATTCCCTGGTTTAAGGCCATTGTCATGGCCACAACTGCTTCTGGACTCTGAGCCATCTCGGGTCTGCTAAGTTGGCAATCGGAGAAATGGATAAGGGTAAGCTGAGAGCTGACTAATAAGGATTTCGACCCGATTATACCTTGATGTGTCTAAATTGGATTAGTCTAAACGGGTTCGACTGGATTGGGTTTTTTAGAATGGGTCTTTTGGCATTGAATGAATCTTTTATGAGTTGGCCTTTGGGGATCAAATGGACTGGACCTTTGCTGAGTGGGTTTTTTTCTGAGATTGGATCGACTGGACCTTTGTTGAGTTGGGTACTGCTCCTTCTTTGGCTCAGACAAACCTAGCATTAAAAATAAATGCCCCCATCAGATCAAGATACTGGGTATACCAGTCAAAGCAAAGCAAGATACAATTTTTGGCCCTAGTTCTGGTTCTGGTTCTGGTATGTCTCCACCGTATCAAACACAAACTCCTGAATTTTGACCCAAATTCTGATTCTGATATGACCCTTTGAAAAGAATCACCTCAATATTAAGACTCTCTAAGGATTGCATTATACATTTCCAAAGATTTCACATTTTGCATAAAAGCATTCAAAACACCCCTATGAGAGGTTAAGGTTTTCCTATCCTAGCTTTGGAGTAATCTACAGCTTTACTATTTAAACAAGCGGTATCACATCATCTTGCATATGGGAGAGTATCATGTCCTAATTTGGAACAGTCACTAGAGTTTTACTATATGCAGCTAGGCCAATTGGTCTAAAAGGGTTCCTCGGCAAGATTACTTAATATACCCCTCACACCTAACACCGAGAAGTAAAAGGAGAATCAAGCGGTACAACGGTAATCCAGATCCAAGGATTGTGTTTCCAACATGGCAGAGCCCATGATCGACTAGCCTTTTGGCAAGCTTTTAGGCAAGCCTCCAGCAAGCCGTCCAGGAATAGCAGATGGAAAACACAGTGACTTAAAGTAACAATGCAAATGCAATGCAAAGAACATATATATGTAGATAAAATTTCACATCATGAATTTCAAGTCAAATTCTCTAAATCCCCAGCGGAGTCGTCAGAAACTTTAGTTTGCTTTTCGTGCTCCTTTCGGATACGATTAGCCTTACAGTTCGGACTCCCGTGGTTCTGAATCTGATTTCACAAGTGTAATATAAAATAGATAAACACAAATGAGTCCAAATCCGACAAATCTTTTGAAAAATCAATTTTGAATAAAAATGCCAAAAATAGACTACTTTGCCAGATTACAGAGTCGCCACCTAAACGTTTTTAGAAGATTTAGGAAACTCGAGACTCATGCCAAAGTCTACTTATCCGTCATCATTAAAATGTCTTGGTTCGAGAACTTAAGTATGAGAGGGGAAGGTCATGAATTGAGCACCTCACTCACCCGATCAAAGATCGGCCTCTACTAATCATGATGTGATTCTTATTTACATTATATGCCCTTGTTTCGATTTATTAGGCTATCTTTACTAGATAATGCACACAAGTATAAACTAATTTGTAAAATTTGAAACACTTCGATTTTATGTTTGTTTTTGAAAAAGTGTTTTGAATATGTATCATTTGAAAAAGTGATCTCATATATACATTACTCAAATTATCCCAATTTAAGCAATTAGCCTTCATCCACTGGTATTCAAACAGGTATGTCACTTAAGCACTTAGCCTCATGGTATTATGCTTGATATGGCAACAATCACACGCATGCAATATGCTAAAGCAATAAATACCTAGTACTCCAAGGCAAGCCAAAAGAAATAAAACAATTAGAAAAATGCATGCTCTAATATGCAAATGCCTAATGTCATACATGCAAGAATGTCACTAATAGGCTCGACTTTTAATATGTCATGTCAATCAATCTGATAGCATGCGGTAGCGCACGTATTCAACGAAGTAATAAATGACAATGTTGTTAGAATAATGAACAGAACTCTATGCATACAAGACAAATGAATGTAAATCATGGAAAATGCTAAAAGAAACATGATGCTTTATGCTATCCATTATAAACGGGTAAATAAAAGGGAGAAAGAAGGGAATTGTAAGACATACACACATTATTACATATTTGCCCTCGTACAAGAGAGTCCAAATAAATGTCCTAGCTAATTAAGCTAATTATTACAACACCACAAATTAACTAACTATCCTAATTAATAATATAAATTAGAATTAAACTAACTAATTAGTTACAATACGAAATTTAATTAACTAAGTAATTAATTATTACAAGTTCACTACTTTAGGTACAACAGACTACTATTAAACATAATTTTAATAGGCCTTGAGAAGCGAGGAATGGCTCATGCATGCATGCGGATTTCCACTCGAAAGTGCCCTCTGTTTGGCTGCCAAAATGCTTCTGTTTTGCAGTCAGAAAATAAAATTGTTTTTGCCTCAGCCATTACTTTGCTTTGTAAGGGAAAAAGACGCTGCCTGGCCAAAAGAGGTGCCTGGCCGGCCGGCCAGAAGAGGTGGTCGGCCGACCACTAGTTTTTCTACTGCCTTGCTGTAACAGACAAGAAACAGAGCACAAACAAACTATTTTTAGGAGATGTTTGTTCACATTGCCTCTCCTTATCATTAGACAAATCAAATGAGGGGTAGGCTTGATTCGTAAACCATCAATCGACGCAAACTCATTGCGTGATGATCTATGAATCAAGGGACAAGATTTCAATAAATGATAATGAAAGACCCGTAAAACCTCTTCCTTGTCATGAAATTGATCAAGGGAAGTGGTAGACCTTAAATCCTTAAACCATTATCATCACTAAAAGTATAAAATAGCTCGAGGCTCAATAGGTTCAACTAACATCCGATTGAACCCAAACCATTTTCTTATCTTGTTACATTTTAGTCCAATTTTATTGCCTCTTTTAATTACCTTTCCATTCCTTAGTTATTTTAGTCTAAAAATGATAATTAAGTCCACTAAAAGGAGAGAAACGTCAAACGAGAAGTTATCTTGGGCATGAGAGAGATGTAATGTCTTGATAATGAACCTCCGAAGAGATTAAACCATTTAGCATGGAAGGTCTTTCTCAAGCTTAAACAACACTCGGTTGAAGCAACTCCCAAAGAAATGAAAAAGCCAAGAAAAGAGGGAGAGTGCAAAGATGATTATGAGTGAACACAAATATGAAAAACATAAAATAAATGCTATAACCTCAAATAGGTTGGTGTCTAAGGCCTAAACACCAAACCTATGAGGACCACTACACTAGCCTACTATATAAAGCATAAATGAAATAAACACACTAAAAAAATCCTAAAAATAGCAAAAACAATGCTGAAATTCTCATAGAAAAGCTTGAAAAAGTTAGCCAAAATAATGAGGAAATGAAGCTAATAAACAGGCATAAGAAGGGGTGGCTAACCCCTCCATTTTTGAGACTTCAAAACCACATTTTTTGCCTCTAAAAAACTTTGAAAAACAGTGGTAAAAAGCTAGAAAAAAAGCTAAAAAATATATATGGGAAACACAACGGCAAAAGCTTGGACAATAAGG